TTTGCCAAGAGTTTTGTATTTCTCTAATGAGGTTGTCTTTGTAATGAAATGAAGCTTTAATGTTTCATTAGCATCATCTAATCATGGGTGCTACAGGTTAACTCCTTGATACAAAAACATTGCTGGCTAATTAGAGCCTACTGTAATTTCTTCAAAGTTATATTGTGAATACATGTGAAGACACCCTATGCTTAACTTGCAGGTTAGGTATAGAAAAGGCTGTGGTATGAGTGATGTTTATAGCATCTTTACTGTGTACAACTTTAACCCCTAGTAAATGGTATTCCTCCCCCTTCACCTTGAATGTAGCCAGGATGGCTCTGGCTGGTATTTTTCCTTGTTTGTCCTCAAGTTCTAACAGTTAGGAAGAAATAGGGAAAAAGAGACACTGTTGACTATACTAGAGTCTCTGCTTGTCATATTTTAGACACTTGATTTTTCTTTTTGTATTTAAGAGAAATGTAACTCCTATCATTACAATTTTGAGACTTTGAAATTCAACAATAAGCTATAAGAACTGAATTAAGTTTTAAATTCAAGGTCCATGTAGGACCGGTACTTTTGTTTGGGGTATCTGACTGTTGTTTAGAAACTTTAGACAGTTAGGGAAGAATGTGTTCCATGGAGTGATGTCAGTGAAGGTGTTGTTCTTTCTAGTTCAGAATTTCACTCAGTGGGGGAAGGAGTCAAGATTAAAATTATGACCTGGATTCCTCATTTTTCAGATTGATCCATATGATTGCCAGAAAATATCATAAGATAATGTCATCATATTTTTTACCTCATTATTACTTTGGTTTTTGGAAAGTGAGATCAAATAAAAGGAAAAGGAAGATCCCAGTCATTTTTTGAACTTCGGCTGTATTTTTGGAATTAATCTGAACTAGTTGAGAACCATCTTTTCCTGTAGAGTCCTGTCTCATTACACTTAAAAAAGGATCATTCACGCATTCTTGATTCTATCCAGCATTAAAATAGATGCCCACCCCTCATGCAGAAATACTGAATAATCAGGTAGTCTGTGTTACGGCTTGATTGCAGTACATCAAGAGAGAATTTGAAACGGCAATCAACAGACTGCTTTATTGAGCACTTGCCAAGGTTATCTGAGGCCTACTAGCTGCCAGCTCCATTTCTGAAAATTAAACTTTTCCTTTTTTTTCTGAGACGCTCAGCATGGAAATGGCCAACACTTTTTAAATGCTTTCGCTATGTGTCAGACACTGTTCTGAGTGCTTCGTCTGTATTAACTCATTTAGTCCTCACAGTGACCCTGGGAGGTATGCTCTGTTCCACTTAACAGATGAGGTCCAGAGTGGCTATAAAGGTGGCCCACAGCCATGCCATACTGCCTGGCAGAGGTGGGAAGCCAGCCCACATCATCTGCCGCTGGAGCCCCTACTCTGGATTGATGCTGGGCTCCTGTGTTCTTCCGGACAGGGGTCTGTACAGCGTCCTCACTGAGATCTCAGTGAAAAGATGAAGCAGCTTGCCTTTCTCAGTCGAGAAGCAAGGCCACAGGAAGCAAAGAATGGTCTTGGAAGATGTGTTCTGTTGTGAGGACTTGTGTCAGGAGTTTCCTAGGACAGAGCTTCCAGGTAGCTCCTTGAGTTTGTGGGGAAACACACAGGAACTTGTGATGAGGGGAGAGAAGGAAGGCTATTTGTTCCAAGATTCCTAAGCTTCCTGATGCACCCGTATTACCCACTACCCCTTCTCTGCTATAGGAATTCCATCTGTGACTTCAAGTCCAGTTTAGCATAAGGGCTATTATACATTAGGGGTAGAAAAATAAATACGTACTACATGGAACACTTTCCCAAAGTCTTAGGGAGAGTGTCTGCACACAGCTTGGCTGAAAAATTGTCCTAGGAGTCTGATTTGTTGTGTGTGTGTGTCTTCTGAGAACATTTGATATAGGTGTTCTGATTTCTTTACCCTTAGACAGAGCTATGTAATGTCATGTAACTGCATATCTTTGCATACATGGGTCCCTTCTGTCAGGTGTGTGCATGCTCAGTTGCTTCAGGCGTGTCCCACTCTTTGCAACCCTGTGGCCTCCTTTGTCCATCCATGCCCTCTCCAGGGGATCATCCCGACCCGGGGATTGAACCTAAGTCTCTTGTATCTCCTGCATTGTAAGGTGGATTCTTAACTGCTGAGCCACTAGGGAAACCCCTTTCTGTCCGAAAAACCACTCGACTCTGTCACCTTTTGAGCTGAGCTTGAATGATAACAATTGATGACATTTATTAAGTTGCCTAGTATGTAGCAAGCCCAGACCTCACTTCATGTTTATAACAACCCCTGAGATGCATATTGTACCCCTGTTGCACAGGTAAGAAAAACAGGCCTTGGGAAGGGTGAGTGAATGCCCAAGGTCTCACAGGCAGCCGGGGAGGTCTAGTTCTGATGAAGTCTTTGTTTTCCTCATTGACTAACAATCCACAAGGGAGGCTCTTTCCAGTTTTCTTCCTGAGAACCCAAAGCCAGGACCATTTTTAAGCTGGTAGACAGACCTTTCCATTCCATTAAATTCAGAATACTTCTTAGCTAGAATGTGCAGCTGGCTCCAAAATCCTCTCCCTCTTTCGGGGAGAGGTGTTAGTCTGTGAGTATAATACCCTCTTTCCAGAGCATGATTTATTTCTTCAAACAGGATTTAAAAAAAAACTCAGTCTTTCTTGTGCATGCGTGTATGTGTGTGTGTGTTAAAAACCTCTCTGAGGCTCGAGCCCTATGGTCTTCAAAACTGTCATTGGTGAGGGTGTTGGTAATTTCTGGGTTCACATGGGGTATTAAGTGACCTTCATGTTTGGAGACCTAGTTTCCTGTGGGTCCTTTCTGTGATCAGTAAGTGGGCTTGAGGTTTCTGAGTATAGGTTTTCACATAAGTCCTGGTGTCAGGCCTAGACACCAGGCCACAATTCTTCTCTTAAAGAAAAAAAAAAGATTCCAACACTAGTTACAGTGGTAAGGAGGACTTTACTCAGGACTTGCTGTAGATGTCAAGAGTGTTAGAGTAGGGGAGAGGGTTCAGATTCAACTCTGAATGCAACAAGAACAAATGAGGATTTATGCAGCCAAGGACCCACTGGGTGGTGGGCCCTGTCAGTGGATGGAAAATCACCAAGAGAAGACAAAGGCTTGGAGGGTTCTTGGTGGAGGCAGGTCGAGGACGTCAGCATCAGAGGTAGGGGGTGAGAAACTTGGTCAGATATCCAGTCGGGAATCTGTCTGCACTGACTTGGCAGAATTTGTGCTAAAACTAGGATAGGTAGGCACAGTGAGGACAAGGGGGCCCGGGATAGGCCTGGACAAGAGGGAGGCTCCGGGGAGCCTGACTGAAGATGAAGGAGAGGGTCTTCGTCAGTGTGACTGCCTGAGTTCAGAGTTAAGCATTCAAGGAGGCAGATATGAACCCCTGGGAGACAGCATTAAACGAAGTGTAGCGTGACCTCCATTTCCACTGTGAAGTCTTCTCTTGAAATCAGAATAAAACTTCACAAATTACCCCAGCACGTATGAGATGCCTTTGTATAGAAAATCGACTTTGTGACTGATATGGATATATGTTCCTCTTAAGTTTCTAGTAGGCAAAAGTCACACATATGTGATGTGTTCCCATCTATTCACCTTTCTGTATCTCATATCATTTGATGTATAATAGCTGTGCTCAGTGGGCTTCCCTGGTGCTCAGCTGTAAAGAGTCTGCCTGCAATGCAGGAGACATGGGTTCCATCCCTGGGTCGGGAAGATCCCCTGGAGAAAGAAATGGCAACTCACTCCAGTATTCTTGCCTGGGAAATTCCATGGACAGAGGAGCCTGGTGGGCTACAGTCCACGGGGTCACAACGACTCAGACATGACTTAGCAACCAAACCACTACCACCAGAGTGACTTCTAGAAAAATTAGTTTTCCTATTGGCACAGACTTCTGTGAAGGATTAGCATGGATGATCACAGTAGCCCTGAGAGGAGGGACCTTTAAAGCTGCCCTGATGCTGCACTATCAGACTGTTTTAAATTGTATTTAACAAACATAAATAGTGCTTATTGTCAGACTGTTCTACATGCTTCGCAAGTGTTATGTTAATTAATCCTCAAAAGAACCCTATAAAGTGGTTATGCCACTGTTGTTCACTCTTTATAGATGAGGAAACAGAGGCCCAGAGGAGTTTAAAAAATTTGCCTAAGGTCACATAATGAGTAAATGGCAGGACTTGGATTTCAACCCAGGCTGCCTGACTCCAGCGTCTGCATTCTTAGTCTCTGTTAGGTTGCATCCTAGGCTTTTGCCTCCCAGGGATTCACTTCTCATTATTCTGGGCTTTTCTTTACTCTCTCCATGAATAAAGAATTCTTCTTCTGGATTTAGTTATTCTCTGGACTTTGTTCAGACTGAAGTCAGGACTGAGGAGTATGTTTAACATGAGGTCTCCTATAAATCACAAGGTTAAAAAATAAATAAATAAATCACAAGGTTATTCATAAACAACTCTTCAGGTGTACTTTCAACTTATAAGGAGAATGTGTTTATTGATAAAAGCATATTCCCTATCTCCTCCACAGTCTGTGTAGAATAACATCACTGACACTTTCTAATCAAAGATTGATGCTTCCCCCCCTCCCCCCCGCAACTAGTAACCCCAGTAGAATTCTTTCCTTCTTTTTTTTTTTTTACATAAATGGTCCATTTGTAGTGAATGGTAATTCTTCGATAAAGACTGGGAAATTGAGTTCCAGATAATGCACAACTAGCACCAAAACTTTCTTAAAGGGGCAGATCTTCTTTGGAAGCAGAACAGATCTAATCCCTAAAACATTTCTTTTGTAGTCTCTTTAAATTTTAAGTTTTTCAAGCTGGTATTGAAAACGGATCTGGTTAATATAGCATTAGCAGCAAAGTTATATACATACATGTGGAAATCTTGAGTATTTCATGGTATGTTCACCTTAGGATTTTTTTAAAACTAAATTTTTTAAACTTTTAATTACAGATCTGTCTATGGCAGTACAGAAATTTTCCCAGTCGCTGCAGGATTTCCAGTTTGAATGTATCGGTGATGCTGAAACAGATGATGAAATTAGTATCGGTAAGTACTGCTGTTTTTCAATATCCTAAGTAATAATTTTAAAAGTCTTACTTCAGATAATAACTTAATTGAAATCAAACGGATAACACACACCAAATACTAAGTATGTCAAATATTCTGACTTTGATAGAAGTGTAAGGGTGATTTTTGGTTGCTGTGGAAGGATGTTATAAACTGCTTTAAAATTGAGGTCTGTGGTTTTTTTCCATAAGGAAATTAATCATTCTATAATTCAGCTAAGCCCCTTGAGAAGATGTGGATAACACCCTTTTTTCTTTGCTAGAAGTGAGTCATTCAGGGAATTCCTGGGCGGTCCAGTGGTTAAGGCTCCTCATTCTCATTGCCACGGGCCTGGGTTCACTGGGTTCAGTATCTGGTCTAGGAACTAAGATCCCACGGCAGTGGGTTGTGGCAAAAAAAAAAAAAGAAAAAACGGAAAACAAAAGTGAATCATTCATTCAAACAAATACATATTGGTTATCTACTATTAAATATACAAGGTATTAGTTTAAGAATTATCTCACATTTTTTAAACTTACTACTGATTTTTCTTTTAACTTCAGTATTTCTTTATAAAGAAAAAAGTATCAGTCATGATGTATTAGCCACTATTAGTGTAGGACAGAGAACATTACTGGGATTAGGAGACTTGAGCCGTAATCTGATTTTCCCTCATATTTAGCAATCGAACCCTGCTGAAAGCATGCCCCTTCCTGAATCGGGTGGTTTCATTTCCCATTAGTGACAAGGTTGGATTTCGTGATGTCAAGTGTTATCTGTAGCTGAGTTTTTACTGGTTGAAGGTCTGATTCATGTAGCATTCTTTCCCCCACATTTTAACAATCCCTACTTGTCTACTTTGCAGACATGGGGTCAGTCTGTATGCTGGGTTAGTCAGGCAGTCAGCTGTGCCAAGTTGCTCAGTCATGTCCGACTCTTTGTGACCACATGGACTGCAACCCACCAGGGTCCTCTGTCCATGAGATTCTCCAGGCAGTCAGGAGACTGTATAAAATATGTGTATACATTTTAGAGAATAATACATCAACAGTGCTCACATTCCAGATAAAAATAGAATATTATAAGGATTTATAATAGACTCCTGAACTGTAATGTGTATGTGATACACCTGGCGATCTCATTAAATGCCGACTGTGATTCCGAAGGTCTCAGGTGGACTGTGGTTTCTGCGTTTCTTACACACTTGAAGGCTGGTCCATGGACTTTTCTTTGAGTAGCAGGACTTTGAAATCCCTGACACTCTTCTCCACAATCTTATTTCTCTCCTTCCTCTGAATTTTGTTTTATAGTTTTGTCAGGTGTATACGTATTTCTCAATATTTTTATTGTTTTCGAAAACCTAAAGTATCAAGTCCAAACCCCGCTGTGAAAGGAAAGGGCTCTCAAGGAGAAGAAAAGCCAGAAGAGTTTCTGATTCCTTGGGCGGCTTTAGCTTGTGACAGTCACAAAGGTCCCTCCTGGAGAAGTCAGCTGCCCGGTCCACACACACGCTGCTCCTGCTATGTGATTCACCTTGTATGGACCCCGCGTGGGCAGGCCAGACTCTCGCAGAGGCTCCTGCCAGGCAGTCCATGATTTGCCCTCCCTTTTGGGAACATTTGGTTCTCGGGGTGTAGCAAATAGAGGTGGCTGGTGTTAGGGTCGCCAGGGGCTCCCTCTGCCCTCAGGTTTGTGGAGGAGGGTGGCTGAGCCTGACTTGGCGGAGGTGTAGGTAGGGTGCCTCTCAGGAGGAGGAGAGGGCTGCCACGTGGATCCCTGGCCACGTGACTTCCTCCTATTTACAGGCCGACTGGGGCAGGGCATGTCAGGGGTCATGTGACACCCATAGCCAGAACGATGGCGTCGTCCTGTGTGTCGCTTCATGACGTCTACATCATAAGTGTCTAGCCCCCAACATAGGTTTTGTAACGCACGCATCACCAGACAAAAGCCTAGATTGTATTACTAAAATGTTAATATAGTAGCATTATTATTTAGAAAAAAGAAAGAACACCCACATACTCATATAATGGCAGTTAATTCCACTTAGTAATGAGACTGTAAAAAGCAGAGACATTATTTTGTCAACAAAGGTCTATCTAGTCAAAGCTATGGTTTTTCCAGTAGTCAGGTATGGATGTGAGGGTTGGACCATAAAGAAAGCTGAGCACCAAAGAATTGACGCATTTGAACTGTGGTGTTAGAAAAGACTTGAGTGTCCCTTGGACTCTCAACCAGTCCAGAGATCCAACCAGTCCATCCTGAAGGCTATTGGTCCTGAATATTCATTGGAAGGACTGATGCTGAAGCTGAAACTTCAATACTTTGGCCGCCTGATGTGAAGAACTGACTCACTGGAAAAGACCCTGATGCTGGGAAAGACTGAAGATGGAAGGAGAAGGGCACGACAGAGGATGAGATGGTTGGATGGCGTCACCTACTTGGTGGACATGAGTTTGAGTAAGCTCTGAGAGTTGGTGATGGACAGGGAGGCCTGGCGTGCTACAGTCCTTGGGGTTGCAAAGATTCGGACACGACTGAGCGACTGAACTGAATGAGACTGTAAAGTGCAAGAGGCCAGAGGCCAGATCTTTTTCTTTTTTTTCTTCTTTCAGTCATTTCACTTTAGCACCTGATCCAGGGTCTGACTCTTGGTAAATTCTTGGTTAAATTGTTGAATAAACGACATAATTTCACCTATAAGCTTTATTTTTTTCATTTATGTGTATTTTTTTCTAATGTAATTATATATAGTTATACTGCATATAGCTATATATTATATACAATTTATTTCTTCTTTATAAAGAGATTTATGGCAAATACTTCTGGATTTTTTATAGGTATTATACTTTTTCATTTTATGATTTTAATATATTACATAGGTTTTTATACATGAATTTATGAAATACTCTCTTTGGTACACTCAGGTTGCTTCTAGTTGGTCTTTTACTTTTTAACGGTACAATAAATACATTTCTTCATAATTTCTATTAAGTTTCTTACTTAAAAAACTTTCTTGAAGTCACGTGGTATAACAGCAGAGGTAGGGGACTTTAATCACTATGTTCTTCAACTGTGCAGGTGGGTCGATGGTAGACAGTTTTCCCCGGTTGTGGTGAACTTGATATCTCAACTGTTCTCTGTCTCTCCACTTTGACTGAATGGATGGTATTATTTTGGCTCTTGCAGTTTAGATTGGAAAGGTGTGAATTGACCAGTATGTGAAGGCTTATGGTTGTTGTTCAGTCACTAAGTTGTGTTCGACTGTGACCCCATTGACTGTAGCCTGCCAGGCTCCTCTGTCCATGGAATTCTCCAGGAAAGAAGACTGGAGAAGGTTGCCATGCCCCCCTCCAGGTGATCTTCCTGGGATCGAACTTGAGTCTCCGGCACTGGCAGGAGGATTCTTTACCCCTGAGCCACCAGGGAAGCGAAGACTGTGATAGGCAATGAATACTAAGTTCCAGTGCTTTCAGGGCTTTTTGGAATTAGATCCAAGCTGGACAAGTGGAAGGTGAATACTATATAGGGGAAAGATGTTATTGCTCACTATTTTTAAATCGAGAGACTTATTTAGCTCCTACTGGGACATCTGATTTAAACACCAGTGCTTTCATAGGAAAACCTAATTTAGAGCACAGAGATTTATAAACAAAAATTATCTCTGAAATAACTATTGTAAAAATATAGATATATTCCCATATCCTCACCAGCACTTTTTATCCTTTTATTGCACCACCAAATTGTTAAATTGTTAAAAATAACTAGTATATAATAAAAACTAAAAGACTTTGAAGCTAACACAAGCTGTTGTACCAAGGACAGTGATCTGGGAATGTATCCCTGAGGATAATGGGTAAGGCTGGTGTGGATGGAGTTGCAAGAACTACCCTTACCTTCATCAGCTCCAGTTCCACATGGGAAGATGCAGAGTTTCGGCTGTCTTTAAAACAGCTCCCTGAAACCCCAGTTTCAGGTTCTTCTTTATTCTTCTGACTTAATGAAAGAGGAATGAAGTGAGGACAGCTGTGAAGGTTCACACTGAGTAATAGTCACAATATCCTCAGCCAGAACAACCTTGAGACTTACCAATATTGTAACCACTGCCAACAGTGGCTTTCAAAAAAAGCTCATCTTTTATAAGCAAGCAGTGTCTCTGCAAAATAACTTATAAAGACATTTGCGAACTTTTCTGTGTACAAGTTATGGTGGTGAGAGTGGGTGGAAGATGAGTAAGATGTCTGCTTTCAGCGTGCTTATAGTAGAATAAGGTGAAAAACAGATTTTGAGCAAAGTAAGGAAAAGAGAGTGCTGTTACTGTATCAGGGTCACGGGTGAACCTGTGCAAGCTGTTCCGGGAGTTTGTGAGACGAGAGGGCCTGTGTCTGTTCCGTAAGTCAGACCCATTCTTCAGCTGTCCCTGTCTGCGCCCACCCTTCTGGCCGTGTGCTTGCTGGTTTGTTGGTTTGTTTTCTTGGTGCCAGTGAGACATTGCTGGCTTGGAAGGAAGCAAAATGGGACTGTCTTCTGGGACCCAGTGGGGAATTCTGTGGCTCGTAGAGCAGGTCAGTTGTTTCCACAGCTGAAGTCCCACGCAGCAGAGCATCCTGCGCTCTACCTGGAGCACCTCTTTCTCATCCTAGAGCAGCAGGAAGCCAGTCCTCCTCTGAGGATGGTTAAGCTGCCTCTGAGCATTTTATCTGCCCACCATGGCGCTGGCCCAATGGGAGGCCATCCAGCTTAACTTCCCGCAGCTGTTCTCATTGCCCACTTTTTATGCCGCTTTGTTTTTCTGGACTGAGGAAAGACGCTGAGTTAGGAATAGGTTAGGAATTGATTAGCTGGACACTTGGGACTTAGAAACTGATGATGGAGGGGAGAAGAGTGATCACAAACTGGCCTAAGAGTCAGTGCCCCTCACATAACGTATTTATATGGTTAGATGTTGCTTAGTCTCTCTTTGTGACCCCAGGCTCCTCTCTCCATGGGATTTTCCAGGC